ATCCATAATTAATAAAACAAACAAATTGGTAGGTAATACTTTTATTATTTGAATTGATATTATTTTGAAGTTTTAAATTAAGGTTTCTATTAAAATCTTTTTAACTGTTATTGTATGAATCAGATGATTTTAGTTATAAATTCAACTTGAATAATTGTAATATGGTAAATAATCATAATATGGATGTATAATTTATATAATTTTATATAATAATATTTTTAAATGATTTCTACTATTTGAATTAAAAAAAATTCTTTGTTTCATTTATTTATTTAAAATGTTTCCATAACGACGTGAATTTCCCTAGCACTTTATTATTTTAAATGAGGGCTTTTTTTAATYCTTTTTTTGTTATTTTTAAATTATAATATTTTTCAGAAAATTATTTCAAAAGTCCTCTAAATGACCCTACATTTATTAACAATCGAATATGCTGTAACACAAATGTCCAATKGACAAAATATTCTTTTAAGTTAAAATAATATTAAATAAATAACTAAACGTGATACTATTGTGTTATACACAAAGCTATATTTATGTACAAATATGTTCTATTTTCTTGGTTTGATGGTGCGACACGCTTGCTTCATGTACTTCGACGTATAAAATAAACAAAAACTTATAAAAAAAATTAAAATGTATTCAAAAACTGGGCAATTTAATCCAGAAAAATAAACTTTATAAACACTCACACAAAATTGCTAAAAAAAGCAACCCGAAAACCTTGTATGAAAAATGTATAGTTCAATGAAAAAATTTGTGTTATCAATAATCATACTTCGTCAATCAATAATAATAACAATAATATTATGTTTCACCACCAACGGTTAAATTATATTTTGAGATATTACAAACGTTCTACTAGATTCCATATGAAATGATCGACTTCATTGAACAGCGTTGTTGGGAATTCGTACATGCTTATCAAACCGAAGAAGAAAGTGATATGCTATGGTTTACAACAATATTAGAAGATCACTGGAATAAATTTATGGTTTGGTATTATGAAATTATAGAAGAACTAGCTACCATTCGTGTTTGCAACCCGTTTCAAATTAGTGTAAATATCCCGTTAAACAATTTTCTCTAGTTATGTTTAATCCATAACTAAATTTTATTGTTGCGTTAAAGGATATTTATGAGCGATTTGACAGTTTGGAACGTAAAATTAAAACATTTTGTCCACAATTTTTCATCGATGGTGATACAAATCTGTGGATTGTAAAACCATATAATCGTTGTTCCGGTATGGGAATACTATTGGAGAGACGTTTCAATAATATTTTGAAAACAATTAAAAGCACGAACAAATTTAATAAAACGTACATAATACAAAAATATATAGGTAATGAATTWAAAAAAAATTAAAAAACCATAAGCCAATTAATAACGCAATTTAAAAATTATTCTGAGTAGTACGGGCTTACTAAAAAATGGGTGTAACTGTAAGTATAGTATTAAATAATATGTCTTTACAGAAATTATTATTTAATTGGATAATTTATCGAAAGTTACTTGAATATTTGATAATAGATTGGTTTAAAACAATTGGTGTTTAAATTATAAATGCGCATCATTTGTGTTTTCTTACTATCATTTTAATCTGTTATATGTGTTTAAAATTCGCAAAAAAAAAACTAAAAATAATTTTAACTGACAATTGTAATACCATAATTGCAAAATTGATTAAATGCATTGTACTACTTACATTTTTTTTAAGTTTAGAAATATATACAATCTATACACATATATGCAGTAAAATAATTATATAAACGTTTGCTTAATTAAGATTTAAGGAACTTGTTTGAAAAACCCGTCCATTGATGGCTCTTTAGAAGATTGCTTAAATAATTATCTTCTGCTTATTATTAAAATTATTAAATTTGTTTTAGAAAGACCATTGCAGATATTTAATGTCAAAGTGGATCTGAGACAATACTTTTTAGTTACAAACACATATCCCATAAAAATATGGATGTACAAGTAAAATATATTCATATGTAATTAATATTCTTCTATGAATTATGATTTTTCAGAATAATTAAATGCTTTTCGGTAAATTGTATTAAGGCGTAAGTAGAAAATTAAATTAAAAACTGAAAAAGTGAAAATAATGAACATATTTATATACATATACCCCTGAAGGTCTTTTCCATCACGTTTTCTTAACATTATTTCGATATCAAATTACTAAAATTAACAACAACATGCGAACACCGTTTTTATAACAATAATGGCCCCAACATAATAATTTTATTATAATATTGTAAAATTTGTTCTAGCTGATTAAAATGTAAATTATTTAAATATTATTTCAACATTGAGGTATACATTTCTGTGTTGTGAAATRTTTATCTTCAAAGTACCACCCTATTAGCCTTTATTGTCGGCTAAGTGCCTTCAAGAAACTAATATACGTTGTATAGGTTTAAATAAAATACATAATAAGATGGTCGTTTGAATCTATATAATATTATATATATACATTGTAACACAATTTAAAAAATTTACCAGTTAATTATCTAATTMAATAATTTAAAATGGCATTACATTTAATCAATATGAAGTAGTTTTAGAGTAAATGTCTGGTTATGGTATCTAGATCTAGTTAATTATTGTATAATTGTAGAGCAATCGTATAGTAATAATTAGGAAATAATTCGTATAATGTTGTTTAGGGAAGGATATGTACGATTTTGTTCAAAGAAATTTACAATTCAAGACTTGGGTGAAGAAGTTCATCTTAGCAACGTAAGAGTTCAATCTACCAATAGAAAATATAGAGTACCCGGTGTACCGGAAGAATGTATGTGGGACTTTACACAGTTTAAACAATACCTGAAATCAATTAAGAAAGGCGACAAGTGGCATACATCAATATATCCTAAAATCTGCGAAACAATATCGACTATCCTCATCAAATCTTTTAAGCAAGACATCAGAAAGACGTTTGCTTTTCAATTGTTTGGAGCAGATTTTGTAGTAACAGAACATTTTGAACCATGGTTAATAGAAATTAATAGTAATCCTGGCTTGAATCCAACTACGAGTATCATTGCTAGAATTGCCACGACATTATTAAAAGATATTATCAAAGGTTTGTTAATTATTGTAAATAATATTGTTATCGTAACCAACTATTTTACCTAAAGAATAAATAATACTTCATAGAATGCCTTAAATGTATGCAATATGCATTTATAATTATAATTACTATTAATATTAAATAATACCACACATGATTTCTGAAATAAATGACACACACCGGTACTGCAATTTAAATACAATTTTATCACACCAATTAGTATACAGTAAAATTACATAATATAAAATATTTCTTAACCTATATGAATATACAATTTGTAAATTATATAGTTCAAAGGTTAAATGTTCATTAAAATAAATAAAACACTTATTTATTTAACTCTTTTATAATGCTCATTTTAAAATTTTTGTTTTAATTGTATTTTTAGTTACAGTGGATTTTCCACTTAATTCAAATGCAGAAACTGGACTTTTTGAGAACATTTACTCTGACACACTTGTAAAACATTGTAWYACGGATAAAAACATCACAAAAGAATATTATTACTACCAACCGCCTAAGAATACAAAACAATTAAATAAACAAAGCCACAAAGGTATTGAACAGAATAAAAAGAAAATTGTGAGATGAATTATATATAGGTGTGCTTTTATATTTTTTGGTTTTACAAATCAAATGCATAAAACTAGGATAGTAAATAAAATTTAATAAAATTTAATACAATAATCTTATATTTATACACCTGCAGTTAGCTAGTCGTTTTATGTATTAATATATTATACTATATTATATACATATAGTGCTATATTATATTTCAGGTAAGACTTTAAGAGCGTTTATTCAATTACTTTTTATTATTTCGTTAGAGCTTAAAAATATTAATTTACTAAGGTAAGTTAAAATACAAGACTATAGTGGACTGTAAAAAATTATTCCTGTTACCCGAGAGATTTTTTAGGGTATTTAAAAAATTA